TCTGCTCTCCCAAGCAAAGGTGCCAAACAAATAAATATGCAAAGCCCCTTCTCTCCATTTCAAGTGAGATTACAGTGAGCAAACACCACTGAAGGCTTTGCCTCCTGCGCCTGCCAGGTTCCGCTGGCCCAGGGGGGTTTCCCTGCCTGAATTGTCCCTGCAGCCACCCCCRTTGRACTGGGGGGCCTTCSTGCATCCTRCACCCCATAACCCTTGGCTTGGRTGCTTTYYCCTTCAATCTTTGRTCTCCTCTRATCCTYCTTTTCTGCTCAGGTACCACAASCACTGCTGGTCCCTTCTGCTGTACWATCAGCATTATTGCAAACTGTTGGGTTCAACAGGCTGACTTTGCCCAGAAATGGGGGGAAAATCTACACAAGCTGAAAATCTTCATTAGGGGGCAAGGAATATTTTTAGCCCTCCCAGCCCTTTGCTTGTGGTGATGAGCACAGGGAGTTCCTCAAGCTCCAGCATTACCTTYTCCCCGAGTCCCATTCTTTAAAAATCCATATTTCTGAGAGCAAACAGATCTCCTCTCAGCTTGGATGTCTGCTTCAGATTTTCAGGGAATGTAGACAGGGGAAAAAAAAAACCAGTGTGTCTTTTGCCTAAATCAAAGCATTTTTAATTTTAAAAAGTCACTGGGAGGCGACTGGAGCCCTCGATTCCAAACACCATAACCTTAAAAACTGTCCCAGTTCCTGCCTGCAGTCAGCAGGGCTGTGCTCATTTGCATAGTGCTGACGGGCTGGCCCCAAAAAAAACTTATATATAGCGTGAAAGTAAGAGTTGTTAAATATCAGCCATTAATATGAAAATTAATGGGGAGATTTTCAAAGGCGAGAACGGAGCGTTAAATTGGAAGGGAATGTGATCYTCTCCCTCCTCCCAGCTGGAAATCCAGTCTTCAAAAAAACTACAGCTCAGCCTGGAAAGTGTTTTTTTGTTTCCTGGGGTGATTCCGCGGGGGTTTGCACGTGTCCTGCCGTGACCTGTTTGTGGCAGCAACCCCCAGAGCTCCTCCTTTGCTTCAGTGGGAAAACATCCCCCAAAAACGCTTGGSTGCCTGTCTGTGCTGGCCTTTGGTGTCACTGACACCTCAATCCCCGTCCTGCCGGCACCAGCGAGGAGCCAGAGGGTATTTCTGGGTGCTGTCACCACRCTGGTGGCATCCCAGAGGCTCCCAGGAGGTTTCATGCTGTAACTCTGCCCTCGTGGGTTTATTTTAGTATTTACAAGCACATTCATTTACTGCCCAGGGYAATGGGAACCTGAGCAGAACTGGGCTGGAAAACAAGCTCAGCATCCTTCTGCGAGCTCAACTGGGGCAGGCAGGGCCTTGAGAGGGGATAAAATCGGTCCCAAGGTCACCAACCTGCCTGATGTGGGTGAGGTGAGCAGGGAAAGCCACGGGTTGGGGGTGAAACTTGGGTGCTATTCGATTTCCATTGCAGAGAATGTCACCRTTCCCCAGAACGTCACCACGGCACAGAATGTCACCATTACATAATGGCCCCAAGGCTGTTCCCACAGCCTAAGAATAGAGATGAGGTACATGGAGCAGTGTGGATGGGGGATGGAGCCATCAGGACCATCCCCGCGGATGCTCATCCCCTCATCATCCTCAGTGGAAAGCATTCCACCTTTTCAATTGCCCGCCAGCAGGGCTGGGACAGCCAGGAGAGGAAAAATCCTCTCCAAATTGGCAGAGAATTGATGTTTAATTACCCCTCATCACAAAACTCTCTGGGATGTAAAACAAGAGAGAAAAAGACACGAAGGTTTGAACAACCAGGGCAC